CCAGGCACCCCTTATATTTGTTTTTATTGCAGTATAGTTGACATACAATAATTTATTAGTTTCAAGTGTACTACTCAGTGACTCAACATTTCTATTCATTCTGATCACCATGATAAACCCAGCTACCACCTGTCACCATACAAAGTTGTTACATATTAGTGACTATATCCCCTATGTTATACTTTGTATTCCCATGTCTTATTTATTTTATAACTGGAAGCTTGAACCTTTGAATAAATTCTGCATACACTTTTAAAAAGGAACTTCAAGGGTGTCTGGGTGGCTCAGTGTCTGACTTCTGGTTTCAGCTCAGGTCATGATCTCACGGTTCATGAGTTCGAGTCCGCATCAGTCTCTGAGCTGACAGCTGCAGAGCCTGCTTGAGATTCTCTCTCCCTCTCTCTCTGCTCCTCCCCTGCTTGCTCTCTCTCTCTCTCCCTCCCAAAATAAATAAATGTTTAAAATAATAATAAGGAACTTCAGTTTTATTGTTTCACTCAAGTCACCAAAGATTACTCAAAAGAAGAAAAGAAGGTATTTGATAAAGTATCTATTTAAGTAGGAAAAGCCTGATGAAATTCTGAAATCTATAAATTGGAAACTCTAGATCTCGTCTAAGTCTTCAACTGCTTTGGAAATTCTTTTCTCATAAGTATTAACTTTTTAGAACAAGAACAAAATCAAGTGTGCATTTGCTCTTCTACTGTTTGGATTTGCCTCTGCACATTTTATATCTTCCTGCTGACGTAAGGCACAGAAGTGAGGGAATATGCTCGGAGATTGGCCCGACTTTATTTCTTTTTTAGAGAAAGAGCACCAGTGGGGGAGGAGGGTTCAGGGGGAAGAGAGAGATGAGGGAGGGAGGGAGGGAGGGAGAGAAAGAGAGAGAGAGAGAGAGAGAGAGAGAGAATATCTTAAACAAGCTCCACGCTCAGCACGGAGCCTGACATGGGGCTCAATCCCCCGACCCTGGGGAATCACAACCTGAGCCAAAGTCAAGTGTCACACACTCAACCAACTTGAGCCACCCAGGCACCCCCAGGCCCAGCTTTAACTTTATGACCCTGGGCAAGTTACTTAGCCTCTCTGTGCCTCAAATTCCTGGCCTGTATGAATTTTTTGTTTCTTATTTATTTTTGAGAAAGAGACAGAGGGCAAGTGGGGGAGGGGCAGAGAGAGAGGGAGACACAGAATCCGAAGCAGGCTCCAGGCTCTGAGCTGTCAGGACAGAGCCTGACATGGGACTCAAACTCCTGAACTGTGAGATCATGACCTCAGCAGAAGTTGGACACTTAACCAAATGAGCCACCCAGGCATCCCTAAGATGTTACTTTTGTAAGGATTAAATGAGCATATCTGAAACACTTAGAAGAGTGCCTGGCACATGGTAGGCATTACAGTTGTATTAGCTATTATCACTATTACTGATCCAATTTCTCCCTTAAAGTAATAAGGAAACTTTGTTCTTGGAAAGGTATATCATAATAAAACACCCCTACCTGTGAACTAACTTTAACACTTGGGAAGATAGTCAAGCACAATGAAGTATGAAAAAAAGCTTCTGAAGAGTAAAAATAGATATAAAAAATGTATTTCCCTACTCAAAACATTCACCCCATTTGGATCCTATGGACTCCTTCTTTTCTAGGATTCCTAATGGTTTATACCATTTAGTACTCTTTTTTTTTTTTTAAGTTTTTTTTTTTTTTTAACGTTTATTTATTTTTGAGACAGAGAGAGACAGAGCATGAACAGGGGAGGGGCAGAGAGAGAGGGAGACACAGAATCTGAAACAGGCTCCAGGCTCTGAGCTGTCAGCACAGGGCCTGATGCAGGGCTCAAACTCACAGACTGTGAGATCATGACCTGAGCCGAAGTCGGACACTTAACCGACTGAGCCACCCAGGCTCCCCTAGTACTCTCGATATTAAGGTAGACTTCATCTGAAAGTTACTACTTTCACCCCTAATTTCTCTTCTCTTTCTTTCTTGCCGGTCTGCCTTCAACTTTTTGAGTCCTTTGTTGGCAAGTTACTTGTCAACACCAGAATTGTCTGAATTCTTTTTCATCTACACAGCTCTATTAAAAAGAAAAAGGAATTGCATACATTCACATGTGCTATAGAATCAGGTTATTACTTATTTGATGTATTTTGTGTATTATGCTTTCATGGTGTTACCTTTTCATGGATTTGTTAAGCTTTCTGTGTTATTTTCCCCCCTTAAAGTGTGCCAGCAGTTCAAAGTGTGTTTCTGGTCAGTTAACAGTTACCTTTTAAACTTTTAATAACATATAGAAAGACAATAAGGTATAAAATCAGTGAAAGCCTAACCACCACACCAGGACACTGCTAATATAATCTCAGTTAACAGCGGCTGTCAACTGGAAACTCCTTCCTACCCTTGTTAAGAATGCTCCCCAAATGTGTATGTTCCTGACTCTACAAGCTCTTCACTCCAGGAAAGAACCCTTCCCCACTCACTGAGGCCCTTTCACCCTTTTGAGCATCACTGCATTTGTTGCTTAGTCCCCCGGAACACACATAATGGAGATTCGGCCAAAGTCGTGCTGATTTTGCTCTTTTTCAACATTAAATGCAAACTTTCAAAATCTTGGGATTCTCTTCTTCCTAAAAGTCGAGAATTGTACTGTAAAAGTGGATTTTCCTTTATTCTATTATAGAATAATTCTCAAAACTGTTTAATTTCCACTTGAAATTAGGCCCTTTATTTAGCAGTGTAAGATTTAAGAGCTCTAATATGTTGCAATTCAAAGATATGAGCAGTAACTATATCAGAGCATATGAAAGGGGGACCTTTTCAGTCCCCAACTTCTCACATTTTCCCAAATGCAGAACTCACCAATCTTAGCTCCTAACACTAGAAGCTATTTCTGATTTGTGAATAGGATGGGAAAAGGAGAGGCAGCAGGATTCATTCCATGGCTCTCAAATGCCAGCAGGAATCAGAATCCCATGGGGTATCTGTTTAAAATGCTAACCCTAACCCTTCTCTAGCCCTACATAACCCGATCTCTCAGGTCCAACATTACAATCTGTATTTTTGATAAGATCCAGGAGAGTCTGATACATTTGCTATTCCATCTACACATTGAGAAATACTGTTATAATCCCTTTCAGGCCCCCACCTTTCTTCAAAGTGGGGGAGGGGCTGTTAGCTTAGTGCAAAAATAAAACTTGCCTGGTACTTGTCACACAAGACACTGCCTCTAGCTATGGTGGCTACATCACTTCCTCCTCCTTGGGGCAACTATATGCATTTTGTACATTCTATTTCAGTAAGATATACAGCTTATGAGGCTTGCCCAAGGACACACTGCTGGGACCGAGAACTCAGAACTACTGTCTTGGATACAAGCCTATTTATCCTGTCCAGAGATGGAAAAGCAAGATGGCTGACTTCTTTTTCTTTTTTCTTCTTCTTCTTTTTCGTACTGAATGAAGTTGTTTTTGAAATGACACCAAAACTTTGGAGGTGGGTACATGTTTTGCTTACCGCGGTGGTTCAGGGTGTCAATTCTGGCATTTATATGTCAATTCTGTGGATAACTTTTTTTTTTTAAAGAAAGCTCTGTGCCCAATGTGGGGCTAGAACTCATGACCCCGAGATCAAGAGTTGCATGCACCACTGCCTGAGCCAGCCAGGCACTCCCAAAACTTTTCTTCTTTCTTTTCCTTTTCTTTCTTCTTCTTTTTTAAAAGTAAGCTCTACATCCAATGTGGGGCTTTAGATACTATGGATACCGATTGCCACTTAACCTCATCACACCTCACTTTCCTATCAGCAAAATGGAGATAGATCTCCTGTACACTTTTGTTATGAGGATTATTGATATTGGGTTGGTGTTGAATAATTAGTCATTGGAAAAGATGTATCCAGATCCCCTTTTTATGTGCATTTTTAATAATTTTATTTTTTAGAGGAGATTTAGGTTCTCAGCAAAACTGAGCAGAAAGCAGAGCTCCCCGTAGACCCCTGCCACCACAGAGGCATAGCCTCCCCCACTATCATTATCTCTCACCAGAGACATTTGTTAAAATTGATGAATCTAGGGGCACCTGGGTGGCTCAGTCGGTTAAGCGTCCGACTTCGGCTCGGATCGTGATCTTCAGGTTTGTAGGTTTGAGCCCCAAGTCGGGCTCTGTGCTGACAGCCGGGAGCCTGGAACCTGCTTCAGATTCTGTGTCTCCCTCTCTCTCTGCTCATCCCCCACTCATGCTCTGCCTCTGTCTCTCAAAAATGAATAAACGTTGAAAAAATTAAAAGATAAAATGATGAGTCTACATTGACATGTCATATCACTCAAAGTCCAGGGTTTACATTAGGGTTCATTCTTGGTGTTATACGTTCTGTGGGTTTTAACAAATATGTAATGACATATACCCACCATTACAGTGTCATACACAGTGGTCTCATTGCCCCAAACATTCTCTTGTGCTCTGCCCTCTTGAGAACTTCCAGCAACTACTGATCTCTCCCTGTCTCCATAGTTTTGCCTTTTCCAGAAAGCTATAAAGTTGGAATTTTATAGTATGTGGCCTTTTCATATCAGCTTCTCTCACTAAGTAATATACATTTAAAGTTCTCCCATGTCTTTTCATGGCTTGATAGCTTTTTTTAAAGAAACAAAACAAACAAAAAAAAAACACTGAATAGTATTTCTTTGTCGGAACATGCCAGTTTATTTATCCATTCACCTACCAAAGGACATCTTGGTTACTTCCAAGTTTGGGCAATTATAAAGAAACCTGGTATCTACATCCATATGCAGGCAGACCCACGTTTCCAACTCATTTGGGTAAATGCCAAGTAGTGTGATTACTGAATCGCATGGGAAGATTATGTTCAGCTTCCTAAAAACTGCCAAATTTACATTCCCACCAGTAATGAGAGTTCCTGTTGTCCCACATTCACACCAGTATTCAGTGTTTTGTGTTATTTTGCCATTCTAGTAGGGATGTCGTAGTATCACTGTTGTTTTATGTTTTTTTTTAATTCTGGTAAAATACACGTGGTATAAAATTTACCACCTTAACCAGTTTTAAGTGTGCAGTTCAGTAGTTTTAAGTAGATTCACACTGATGTGCAACCAGACCCCACTACTCTTCTCATCCGACAAACTCCAAATCCATAGCATTAGTTTGCTGGGGCTGCTGTAACAAAGGACTGCAGACTTAAACAACAGAAATTTATTTTCTGACACTTTTGGAGGCTAGAAGCGCAGGATCAAGTTGTTGGCAAGTTTGGTTTCTCATGAAGCCTCTCTTCTTGGCAGATGGTCACCCTCTCATCGTGTCCTCTCACAGGCTTCCCTCTGTGGACATGCATCCTGGCATCTGTGTGTCCAAATTTCCTTTCTTCTAAGAACACCATTCTGATCGGGTTAGTCCCCATCCCAATGACTTCATTTTAACTTCATCATCTCTTTAAAGGCCCTATCTCCAAATACAGTCACATTCTGAGGTGCGAGAATTAGGGCTTCACCATATGGATTTTGAGAACACAGTTCAGCCCATAATGTGTTGACCCATGAAACTTCCCTCTCTCCCCTTCCTCCTAGCTCCTGGCAATCTTTTATTTTCTGTCTCTAAGAACTTGACCACTCTAGTTACTTCATATAAGAGGAATTACACAGTATTTACCTTTTTGTAACTGGCATGTCTTCAAGGTTCATCTATGTTGTAGCATGTTTGGGAATTTCCTTCTTTTTGAAGGCTGAATAATCTTCCATTGTGTGTACATATCACATTTTGTTTGTTTATTCATCTGTTGATAGACATTTGCACTGCTTCTATCTTTCGGCTATTATGAATAATGCTGCTATGAACACGGGGTACAGAAGTATCTGTTTAAGACCTGCTTTCCAAATCTTTGGGCTATACACTTAGAAGTGAACCTGTTCTGAGAATTTTTAAGCATGCACTAAAGTTCTGGCTGTACTACTAATATATCTTTCCCCAGGCTAATTCTGTCTTTATTCTGTGACACCAAATCTTTGCTTTATGCCACAAAGTAAGACGTTACGTTAAATTATTTATTTCATCCAGGGCATATATTAATTAGCTAATCATAAATGGGTATGAGTCAGGGACCCGTGAGATAAGAAACATCGTAAATACTTTATCATTTTAACCTAGGTACCATGCAGTCAATTTGTAACATAATTATCAGAGATAAGCCATCTTAATCATGCTTTAAAAAGTTCAAGATGGTCCCAAAATGGCAAGTAAAGAAACTCAGATAGAAATTATACTTAACAGGAGTTTCCAAAACAATAGATAGACAGTTCTGACTATCTTAACAATTCTTTCAATTCTTACTTCTGGAAAAGTAGAACCCTAATTTAATTTGTAAAATAACGTGGAATTTACCATCAATACCCTCATTTTTCAAGTGATAGCTCAATACCTCTCTCTTCTGTCATGGGTAGAGGGATAAAAATAATCATGCAAAAACTCATGTTTCGTTACAAGAAATATTCCATGTTCTTACACAGATGAAAAACTTAAATGAGAAGTTTTTTGTTTTGTTTTAAGGAATACTAAAAGGAATTATAGCATAGTAAGAAAAATGGTCTACGTTCAAATCTCAGCTCTGTCACTTTCTGCTTCATGATATTGGGCAAGCTACTTAACATGTCAGTTTTCTCACCTGTGAAATGGGGGCATTAGTTAGGCTCAAGTTTCCAAGTTGTTAAGATGATAAAATTAGTTAAGATCTGTAAAAAGCCTGGAACAAACTCTCAATAAATGGTAGCTATTAACAGCATAAGCTGGCAAACCAGATAAAGCTTGAGGAGCATGAGGTAATGTGTCATATCACTGGAATAAAGAGATGTGACTACTGTACCCACTTTTATAAACAAGACTATGTGGTGTGGGAAGGAGATATGATTAAGTTTCTCAAAACACTTTCGAGGTGTTTCTAATCCCTTCTAATTGTTAAATTATACTTGAACAGCTTTATTAGAATTTATTTGCTTTATTGGTCTACGTTCTCAATTAGTTATGTTATGAAGAAGAAATGCATCACCAAGATGGAGCATTATGTTATTTTTCAATAATGTATGTCATGGTTCACAGTAAGAAGCATCACTGGAAAGATTTCACTGCAAGATTTTTACATGAGTAAGATTTTACACATACATGAAAATAATTGAAAAAAATATACGTAAATAAATGAAGTATGTATATTTTTCATGTATATGTGAAAAAGAATGATACTCAAAGTGTACCTTCGGAGTAAAAAAAAAAAAAAATCACTGATATAAAGAGACAAAACGTAACTGCAAAAACTTTTGAAACTTTTAAGGAAAGTTCCAGGATGAATGAAACAATGTTGTTATGAACTGTTAAACTCCACTCGCTACTCACTGTTCCTGTGACTTCTGGAGAACAATGCAATGGCCATAGATCAAACAGGAGGAAGTCTTAAGAATTTAAAAGCAAGAAATGCAAAGTTCCATCATTTTGCCAGGTGAGTTGAGAAAGAAGCCCTCAAAGTTTGGGGTGCCTGGGTGGCTAAGTTGGTTGAGCGACTGACTTCGGCTCAGGTCATGATCTCGCAGTCTGTGAGTTCAAGCCCCATGTCGAGCCCCGTGTCGAGCCCCGAGTCGAGCCCCGAGTGGGGCTCTGTGGTGACAGCTCAGAGCCTGAAGACTAACTCAGATTCTGTGTCTCCCCCTCTTTCTGCCCCTCCCCTGCTCACGCTCTGTGTCTCTCTGTCTCTCAATAATAAATGTTAAAAAAAAATAAAATAAAATAAAAAGAAAGAAAGAAAGAAAGTCCTCAAAGTTAAACCCTCAGAGTGCAGCTGTATCTGGAAAACCCCAAAGTTCCCTGATTCTCTCTACTGAAAGCACAGTCCATTTACACAGTAAATTCAGGATACAACTGAATGTCTAGATTTTGAACGATAGTTTACAAGCCGTGTTTTGTAGCACGTCTGGCACTCTGATGACCTCATGGCTTCCTTTGAAATCCTTTAAACCAAATCCATTTTAGTTCTTGACAATCTAAATACTATATATGTCATAAAGTACTTTCAGGGAGGAAGCAAGGGAGGAAGAGGCTATAGAAAAAACAAGGAATTTCCAGAGTTGGGGGGAAATTCCAGCAGTAACACTTCAAAAAAGAAGATAGCAGAAACTACTTCCCCAGATGCAAAACGCACCTACCATGCCTCATTGGAATCCGAATAATTCAATTCCACGATCACTTAAGGAACACCTACTGTGCTCAGGGAAAGAAATGGGCATTCTCAGACAAAACAGCAAGCACCCTCTGGGCTACAGTCGGGAAGGCCCTTGGGTCTTCCTTCCTCTCTACCTTCAGGAAGTACTATAAAATGCTCTCTCTCAGATGCCCCTTCTCTTGCTCTAGGCACAGCCTTGATGGTCTCTGTCACTCTTTCAAGCCAGGTGAGGTGGTCCCTCCTGCACTCCTCTGGCTGTTGGGACCAATCATCAGTGTAAAATCAGATTTCAGATATCGGGGACATGGCTAGGAGATGTCTGCAGTGATTAACAACTCATTAGTAATTTGTTTTCAAAGCTTTCCTTCTTACTTAAACTTGGGGCACTGGTTGAATTTTAATTCAAGGAATCACAGTCTCCTGCTCCTCAGCGTTGTGGAATCCTTCCAAATCCTGCTTGGAACGGTTAAGTCATTTTGTTTAACCCAACAGCTTTCGATGCATGTTGTTGTTTGAAAAATGTGAACTGTAGTCCACGACGGAAGCACACATTCTCAAGAAACAGGAGAGCTTACTGAGCGCTTCCCCCTCTTTGAGGGAAAGCTATAAAACATCCCCTTTTTGTGTGATGGCATATCTCACTTTTAGAAATCTGTACCATATATCAAATTAAGTTAAAATCAAATACCCCCCCCATCAGGATGATGAAAAGAAGTGTACAAGGAAGAGGGTTTTTTTCTTTATTACTATTATTATTTCAACGCGGAATGAGTGTGTAAAGTTTTTTTTTTTCTTTCATCCGCAAAATCGGGTTGTTTTGTTTTGAACAACGGGAACACCGTCTCAAGTAGAATAGCCTATGAAAACCATCAATTCCCAACAGCAAAATCAATCCCCAGGTGTCTCCAGGCAGAGTGCCAGGGTCCCCCATGCGCCTCTGCCACAGGTGGACGCGGAGCAGCTAGGACACTCGGGCGCCCTCGCGTTCCTGCGCCAGCAGAAGCCACGCGGGCGCGCTCCAGGTACTGGGCTCTTTGTCGAGAGCCCGGCGCTGCGCCCGGCCCCATTGGTCGTGCGGCCGGTCGGGGCCACCCGGTCCCTCGTCCCTCCCCCATCCTGGAGTCGTGGGCCTGGGTACCGGCCACATGGCCCTGGCTCTGGGGGGGGGGGGTCGCCCGGTCCCCGCGGGGCGCGCCCACACCGCGCCGCCCGACCCCGCGCTTCAAGGGGGTGGGCTTCTCTGGGGGCCGCGGGCAGCTTAGTCCGCCCCCATCCCCGCCTCCCGCGCTCACCGCTTTGAGATCCAGGACGCCGTCCTTGGCCTCCTGCAGCAGCGACACGAACTTGGTGGTGAGCAGCCCCAGGCTCTTCTCGTGCCTGCTGCTGCCGCCCCCGCCGCCCCCGAGCTGCGGCGGTGGCGGCTGCTGCGGAGGCTGCGCCTGGGAAGGCTGTGGCTGCGACCGCTGGCCCTGGCCCTGCCCCTGCGGCGCCTGCTGGCCCGAGCTCGCGGGCTCCGCCGCCGCCATCGCGTCCCCAC